TGATAGCAAATGAATTAAAAATAAAACAAGTACCATGTTGAAACCAAGGTGGAACACTAGAGTAAGCAGCAGGCTCCCCTGGCACTAGCCTGCAGTTAGCGCTTTCCTGTGCTGCTCATTCACTCCCTTCTATAATCAGAGTCTCCACTATTTTTGCTGACTATATTTCAAGCTTCTCTAAAGGCAGGAATCCTGTTTAATGTTCTTTAATGAATTATCTCTGCTGATGATGAGCTTCTAACTTTGCACATTGTTCTGTAAATTTTGTGAAGCTCACGCCTGACCCAGCAGTAGTCTCCACCACAAGTACCTGAAGGAATGTGTTCAGCATTAAGGATCACAATTGTAAAGAGATAGAAAATCAAAGGGAATATATCAGGAAAGAATAAATGGGAATATGAAAGTTTTTTAAATTACTAAAAATTGGAAGCATTTGGAAAGACCGGGAATGGTTAGCCCAGAGAAGGAAAGACTTAGCACAGAAGTAAATGCCTACCATTCCTAAGAAATGTAGGATAACTGTAGAAAGCACTATGGGGTTTCCTCAAAAATCTAATAAGAGAAATACCATACCACCCCGTAATTCCACTTCTAGGAATTTACCCGAAGAAAACAAAATCCCAGATTCAAAAAGATAAAGCCATACTTATGTTTATCACTGCATTATTTACAATAGCCAAGTTACAGAAGCACTCTAAGTGTCCATCAAAAGATGAATGGATAAAGACAAAATGGTACTTAAAGACCATGAAATACTATTCAGTCATAAAAAAGAAAGAGGTCCTGCTGTTCTCAACAATATGGATGAACCTAGAGGTTATTATGCTAAGTGAAATATGCCAGGCAGGGAAAGACAAATACTGCATGATTTCACTTATTTTTGGAATCTAAAAACAAAACAAAACAAAATGAACAAAATGGCCGTAGACTCAGACACTGAGAAGTGATTGGTGGATAACAATGGGGGAAGGGTTGGGGTGGATGGGGAGGGGTAGGGAGATAGAGAGGCACAAAAATTCGCAATAATAATGTAAGTTGTTCATGGGGATGGTAGTACAGCATGGAGAATATAGCCAATGACTGCAACGTCTTTCTATGTTGACAGATAATAGCTGCACTAGTTGGGGTGAGGATGATAATATGGGAAACTGTTGAACCTCTCTGCTGTATACTTGAAACCAATATGAGATTACATATCAACTATACTTTAATTAAAAACATGAATTAGTGAGTGCCAAGAAAAAAAAGGAAAAAGAAATGTAGGCTAGGTTTCTAATGACCAGAATTTCCAATTTTGCCTGAGATATATTTAGACTGTGTCTCAAGTGCAAGAATAGATAGCAAAAAAGTGGAACTAGATGCCAGTATTTTCACACAAAATTAGATTGGCAGAAGAAACCAAAAATCTCTAAGATTCAGTATATTGTGTATAAGGTTTTTACAGTTCTATTTAAATGATGATCTATAAGTGGCATACAAAAGGATATACTGGATTTCTGTTGCAAACAAATCAATCAATTCTACAGCTAATCAATGAATAACAAATACTAATTAAATGTTTGATGAAATCCAGGTTTGTGTGTAGATTGTATTTATACAGAAAGTAAATCATGATAGTCCTTTCCCAAAAGAAGCATAAATACCTACAGTTTTACTTATACTAAAATCCAGAGGGATTGATGAAACACAGGATGCTGAAGATAAACTGTACAGATACAAAATCTGAATACCCCTTCTTACCCATTAGTTACACCCTGCTTTCTACTACCTTAAAATCTAGTACAGTTGCTATGGAGCCCAATATTCCATTACTCATCTCTCTCTCCCTTCAGTATAGATAACACAATTCCAGGCGTCCTTTCTATGGTGAATTTTCCCAACTTGTGGCATTTCCAGCTCTGACTCATGATAGTCTCAGGACACCCCCTGGAGGATATGCACAGTACTACATACTGTAGAGGGTTCCTTATCACATGTTCTCAGCAGGCATTTCTTAGGAAGTCCGTAAAAGCTGAGGGTAATAATCTTGAATTAATCATAAATAAATCATCAGTATGCTATGAAATTCTAGAACTGTAGGTAAGTGACATGGAGATGCCAATTCAAAGACCTGGTGTTTTCAAAGAAGTCAAAAGATACCAAGATATAATCTTTGGTTGCCGGGAGTTAAAAATATAAACGTAAGAGGTGTTTAACCAACTAACGCAACTTAAAGTACAAAGAAAAGAATATCAAATAAAGGAGTAATATGTGGTGATAAACAATGATAATAATTGCTACAATATCAATCAACTAGCAGAAGCAGAGTGTGCCCATATAATTTGGGGGATGGAAAGGTACAAAATTCATCATCAGTGAGAAAAAATCTGCCATTTGTTATAAGAAATTGCTTGGAAATGTTCTCATGGGGTGGTGTGACCAATCATTTTGGCTTAACCGGACCTGTCCTGAGATTTGCACTGGCAGTCCCAGGTCCCTCACATCTGGGGAAAACCAGGACTTTGGTTACCTCACTAAGTGAGTACATTCTAATAAATCATTGCAAATGTCCCACTGCTAACATAATCATAACGCCATTTTCAGTGATCTAATCCAGGAAATCGGACAAAAATTTCATTTAGTGTTGCTTTGTTTCCCACTTCTCACTTCAAGTGTCCACCCTGTGCCTAAGCCTTTCTGATGGGTTCCCAAAGGAGAAAGCAAATAACAAGACACTCTTGCCTGAACAATGTATGCACACATTAGTATGGAGCCAGAATTCACTTACTTTTGCTGCAGCCCAAGAGATTGTTGACATCCAAATGGCTTCCACCGGGAACGCAAACGTCACACTTGGAGCCAGTGACAAATCGTTTGCAGAAACACTGGCCTGTGACCAAGTGGCAGGTTTCATTCAGGGCTCCTGAGACATGACAATTGCAAGGCTGACATCTGAAAACAAGACAAATAAACCATCAAAGAGAACAACGTTGTTGATTTACAATTTATAAAAAAAAATGTATAAAATATATAAAAGTTACATCTACTGATAACATCATGGAGTAAGATGGTCTGTGTCAGCCAATATATTGAAAAGAAATCTTGAGCTAAATAAACACAAAATAAAAAAACATCTTTATCAAAATGCTGCTCATGATAAAACTTCTAGGAAGCCTTTTCTTTGTAAATTAAGTAATGACAAAAAAATGTGTTACACTGCTTTTTTATACTCCATAATAAATCTTATGGATTATTTTGAATATTAGTTGTTCAGTCAAGAAACCTGGAATTTTGCTTTCTCACAAAAGCAGTTTACCTAACAGCTAAAAATTTAGATAAGTCCCCATAAGTCATCTTTTCAAGTATCTATCAAGCTATGAAGTAGAAAACTGGCTGTGATAACAATGATTCCCCCCAAAATCTTGAAATTCTACATTGTTTCATAAGGACTAAATTTCACTGAGAAAAGAATTTGAGGAAGACATGGTCTAATACTATCAATGCCTTAATAAAGGTTATATGTTATTTTCTATTTTATGCACTACACTCATTTTATGGGTTTGGGGACTAGTTGGGGAATACAGCACTATTCTTATATGCAAGAAGATGTCAGTGATATAAATAAAATGCTGTAACTTCATTTCATCTTCAATTTCTTGGACCTAAAGTAACTTGTAAAAATCATTGTCCTAGCATTTTGACACGATAGAGACCAAAACCTGTTTCCCCCTAGAGAATTATTCAGTCTTAGCCTATGCCAATGTCATTCGTTAGTATAAGCAATTTTGCACCATGAAATATCAGAGCAGCAAAAACAGCACACGTAAGAAGACCGCTCAGCTCTCGCAGGGACTTTCCATGCGGTACATCTAAAGCAACATTAAACAGATTCTCCTTTATATCTAATAAAGATGCTGGATGGATAGAGTTACTTTATCCCCCTGCTTCTATGGTGTGATCTCTTGGGTAATCATCCAACACCCTTAAACAAAAAAGGCTGATAAAAGCTAAGTGCTGCTAAATAAACTGCAAATTTGTTTTATGGACTAATATCACTTTGGGAATAAATAAAGTACAGTTTCTCCTGAAGACCACTATGCTGTAGTTTGCCCTTTTTAAATCATGATAAAAGGACATTTTCTCTCAACAAAGAAATGTATTAGGGCCTTTATAGATATTGTATCAGAACTCCATTTAAACGGACGTTTAGTTTAGGCTACTTAAGTGTTCGAACTGAAGAAAATTATGCAGTGACATTCAAATGGAATTATAGCAGCAACAAAATATTTGATTTTCTCTTAATTTCATTATATGCTATTAGAATATATTGCTTGTGGGCTTCTGATGTAATATCGGTAAGCAGAAACGATGAGGCAAGCTTGTCCCAGTGCATATATATATGGCACCACACAGCTTATGAATAAGTGTCTCTTAAGTATTTCAGTTTTTATTACCCTTCATTCATGAGACAATCACACTTATTTTACATGTAGTACATTTAGAGTAACAGTTCCCAGTATATGACATAATTCCTTTCCTTGATGCAGCTCTATTTTCTTGCAGCTAACTGCTACACACTTAACTCCAAGTCAGCTCTGTCAATATTCATGGGATATTAAGTTATGATTCCAGATGGAGTATATAAATCACTTCTTAGCAAAGCATGCCATGTTTTGAGTAATTAAATGTGACTATTACTGATTTTACGGTCTCTGATCCCAGCTATTGTTACATCCAACTTATCTGGCTTATTAGAATTGTTTGACTTTAGTAAGAGGGAATTTTACCTGAATGAAGTTCATGGAGATTTTTCTCAGTATTATAGTTCGTTTCTAGCTCAAAGAATGCTGGGAATAATTTTGTAATTAACATTTAAGTAAAATGATTCGTGCAAGTTTCTCAGCTACTCAAATATAATTTTAAACATCTCCAAGACTCTTTAGCAAATAAGCTACAAGTTTGATGTCATTATTCCTTCTCAAGAGCACCTCCTAAATGAAATATATTCACATTTATTAAAACAAAATTATACATAATAAAGGAAAAGACATTTTAAGCTAAGAGAAACAACAAACTAAGATGAATTGTGATACTGATTTTGTCAGGATAAATGGCTTTTGTGATATTAATATAAAGAAACCTTTATTACACTGACTCTCCCAGTACAGCCAGAGCTTCTCTCGCAATCTGTTTAAAATCTTCATTTTTCATCCTTATGGGAAAACCTCACTTGCTAAATGGATTTCATAAAGAGTAATCTGTCAGGATTTATATAGATAAACAATTCGTGATCTTTATTGACCAGTTCATCATGGTAAACAAAGCGGGAGTCAAGCGCTGCTAATCTCTGCCCACGCTCTGCTGTTGCGGTTCTTCTGTTTGGTCCCTTATGCAACTCAGTGTTTACTAGAGACAATGGGAAAGGAGTTAATTGGCCTCTGACTCTTAAGTCACAAATCTCATTTATTTTCCTCTCCAGGAAGTTTCTTGCAGTAGTGCAAACTGCTACTGCAAAAGCATCAGTATTAATGCAGGAAGTGTGTTTCAATAACGCACTTCACGGTTAGAAACTTCATCATCGAAGGCAGAGCTACTGGAGGAGGCCCAGGGATATGCCCCCAGGGTGGAGATCGCTTTGCTGACATTTCTCTTTGGACAGCTCTCCTCTGATTGGGGTGTCAAAGCACCGGTACCATCAAATTGATTTAAATATATTGATTGACATGGATGTTATTTACACTCATTGAGGGTAAATTAGGACTGGAATAAGCACTGAGGACATGAATATGAGTAAGATAGAATCATCCTTGTCCTTGAGAAGCTCACAGTCTGGTGAGAAATTTGAAATAGAAATACCATTCATAAAGATGTATGCAGACCATTTGGGAACAGAAAAGGGGCAGGAAATGGGGCAAGGGAAAGGGGCATTAAGAGGGAATGCTGGCGATGTTTGGGCTAAATACTAGATGTGTAGCAATATGCCAGGCAAATAAGGGAGGGAGAAAGTAAAAAGAAACAGAAGGAGGAGGTGTGAAATTACAGCAATTCCAAAATTTGGGGTATAAATTCAGAATTGGGAGTGGCGACAGATAAAACTGGAAAGGTGAGCAGAGTTACAACGTTGCTAAATTAGGTGCAATGGTGACAGTGGGAAGGAACAATAGAAATGAGGGGATCAATTTAAGTAAGTAAAATCAGTAGAGTGGGGTAAACCGATCAAACAGAGAAGCAAAGAAGGGCATGGAGTTACTGCCAATTTTCTAATTTGCCGGCAGGTGAAAGATGGGGACACCATTCAACATAAAGAACAAAGGGGGAAGAGACCTCAAATTGCTGAGACTTTAGACAAGGATTGTTAGTGATTTTTAGTGAATGGAAGAGATGAGGCTTCAAGGCGAATTGCAGAAGCTGGACAGACTTTTCTTCCATCAATCTGCATGCAGCACAAAGATGAGCACACGACAAGTGTTCAAGTACCACTGAGTAAATGAATGAATAACACACGAGGAAAGCTTTATACTTAGAACAGGACAGAGCTGATAAATCCAAACGAGACATGTAGTTCTAATGACAACTGAGCTCTTTTGAGCCCTTTTTGGGTGGCACAGCTGTCCCCCCAGCTAACCTCTCCCCGAAGGAAAGGACCGCTTCCCTTGGAGAAGACGGGCCTTCTGCTCTAAGGCCAGAGGAGTTCTCAGTTCAGCCCTGTTTTCCAGGCTCCCAGGAGTGCCAGATCGCCCTCTGGAGGAGTTTGATTTCCCTGGTCAAGATTTCGTCTCCTCAGGAGAAGAGCAATCCCACTAAGGTTTTCAGTTTTCCTTTGGTCGTGATCTACTGGATTCCCTTGGAACTGGAATCAGAATTATAGGGAATGGATTTGGGGCTTGGATATCTTTTGTGTGAGCTGAAAGCCAGACTCGCAGGGCTTATTGGGGAGGAAGGGAGAGTAATACTATCTCATCCAGAAGAGAGGAGTTAACAGTGTCCCACCCAAACTTTCCAGGGAAGCTTTCCCAGGCACAAAGGAGTTCGTAAGGACTGAACCTGGGCAATGTCTCCCTGCCATCCAGGTAATAGTGACATCTGAGTCCAAGCAGGTGACATTCCCATCATCTAGAGAAGAGCTTGCATCTGAGACCCCTGCCACTTTCTCTTGTGTTGACATTCCATGTAATCACACAGAGGAGAGACTGTGTCCCATGTGTTAGACTGCAAAACTAAATATCTAAAAGAAATAGAAATTCCAGAAGATTTTCTGTATTCACAGTATCACATATGCTTACACCTAGAAGAAACCTTAGTGTCACTTTCCTTAACCTCCTCATTAAAGTAACATAATAACTTCGATATATGACGGCAGGTTCAAGTTCTTAAAGTGATCCGAGGTAGGGGAGAGATGACACTTCATCTCTGTGGCCCCAGAAGGCAGAAATAAGACTAGGCAAGAATCATAGCAATGAAAATTTTACTCAATATGATGACTATATTTCTATCTTTCTTAGAATTAGACTTGTCTGAAATAAACATGAGCAGCTTCACGAGACAGTGAGCTCTTTGTAGTTCCAAGTTTCTGAGCAGAAGGTAAGTGACCAGCTATTCTGCAAAGGTGATTTATGCAGAGAAAAGTTAGGGTGGAGTTTAACCAGAATTACTTTTAAGGTTCTTTCCAAGTCTGAAAAGCTACAAATCTATGATGCTTAGTGGGATTAAGTGATTTGCCCAAAGTGACAGTGAATCTGATAATAGAGTCTGCAATCTTTATCTACAGAGGATCAGAAACTGAATATTTTAGGCTTTGTGGGACATATGATCTCTGTTGCAACTCAGCTCTGCTGTAGTAGTATGAAAACAGCTATAGACAATATGTGAAGAATGAATATTGCTCTGTTCTAATAAAACCTTATTTCCACAAGCAGGTGGCAGGCCATATATAGTCTGCAGGTCATAGTCTG